CCTGAAGGGGCACAGAAGTTTAAGTGACTCACATTCAGTAGTTATATATTTTAACGTGCATTAGAAAATATGTAACTAGTATGTCACATTCATTATTTCAGGACTATTGCTTCTCAGACGAGGCTAGGTTTAAAATGTCACTGTAGCATAAGACCTAAGGGTTGGTTTTTCTTTTTTATAATGCAAGTACCTGACTTAAGCTTTGATTGCAGAAGCAACCACATCAAAGAGAAATACACTTCAAAGATGGCTGTCTCCCATAAACACACTGCCAGCTACAGACTAGATGAAGAGCAGGCTGCCACCGACCCCAGGGCTCCTTTGTTTTAGAGATTTTTGTTAATTTCAGTAACTGACATTTGAGCTGCTTGGTTTTTTGTCTTCCTGGGCTTTAAATTCCTGCTCTTAAGTTTTCAATTCACCAAGAAAGAGTGAGCTCACAAAACCCTAGGGCCCCACCCTCCACCCCAATAAAAGCAGAACCTCAGGCCCGCATGCTGTCTCTCTCTCTCTGTACCTGTGACTTCACTATGTGGCCCCAGGTGTGTTGTGTAATTTCCAGGACCTGTATGTAATAAACCTTGTCTCTTTCAAAGTGTCCTGATGGTTATTGCTGAGGGTGTCTTGCAATCATAACAAAGAACCACAAGGGCCAGTCCAGCCACAACATTGATTATCCCTAGGCTGAGATTGGCATACAAAACAGTCATTTTAAAGGACACATCTAAATATGGCAGAAATCGTGACAATGGATACATAACTCAAAATAGACAAATACCGATCCAATCAAGTTCATCATTCATGATGAGATTGAAGTTCAGGACACTAAGTGAGATGCCCACTGGCAATGACTTAATGTTCATCCACACTGAATTCTCCTCTCCTCCCAGAGCTTATAGCTAACTTACATTTCCCAGCCCCTTACAGTAAGAATGGGTGTGCTGTCTCCAAGTTCTTTCACTTTCCTCACCTGCCAAGAACAAGAATCTAGTGGGGGACTCTTAGGCAAAGATGGTCATGTGGAAACAAAAGCTCCCTTTTCCTAATACACATTGGAGAGTGACATGAGAGACCAATCTTTAATGTGATGAACCACAGAGATTTGGGGGTGGTTAAAGCAATTAGCTTACCCAAATGCAACTGGCATCACTTAGTTAATAGCCAAGTTGGAATTAGGACTCTGGTCTCCCAAGGGTCTTTGTTAAGGATAAATTCCTGGGTGAAAAGAGAAAAGCAGCACTGGCCTTCCACTGTGTGTGTTTGCCTCTCAGTTTCAATTTCCTTGAAAGAAAGAGCAGCTGAAAGTCGCCAAAATTTCAGAAGGCAGATCTTAGATAACACTAGTTTGAAACCAGTCCTCTGAAGATTGAGATACTCAACTCCACAAGTTAGTATCTGGATGTAATTCTCTTTCATTGTAGACTAAACTGAGACAATCCTTTCCAGTAGGGGTGAGCTGAGTCAGACGAGCCCAAGTGGACCCCATTTCCTCCCCTTAGCACTTGATCCAGACATTTACCTGACTTCTCCTCTCCAACTCAGTTTGAGGCTGGGACAGCAGAGCAGGCTCCCTGATAGTACTTTCACTCTTGAGTCTGTAACTCCAGCATCAGCCGTTCACAGAAACATGGGGGTGCCTAAGATAAGTACCATCCCTGCAGCTGGCCGTTACAGAATCCAGGCTTCTCCTGCGGAATTTGAATGTGAGGACAAACGTGTCCTGACCTACTGCCTCCACCAGCTGAGTCAGGCTCAGTTGCCTTCTCAGTCTTCTGTACTGTGCAACTTGTCCATGCAATTAATAGGAATTCCATTTGGCATAGGGATAGGTGTGTGTACATGTAACAACCGCCACCCAACAGCAGACTCCCTCTGGGGCTGGGGCTTTCCATATGCTATTTCTCCCTTTGCTTACCGACCAGGGGGAAAAGTTGGTTTTGTCTCTGAATGTGATAGCCCATACACTGATGTAAAGATGAGATGTCAGCAACAGATACAGGTCCCTGCTCCCACAGTAACTCTAGATGATTCAGGGAAAGAGCAACCAATGTGAAGATGAAACCTGGGGGAGGTGGGAGAGCATTTAGGGTAAAAATTTAACATGACTATGAATCAGTCGAGAATACTTACGTATTTGCAGTATTGGCTAAATCTATATAACCAACCAACATTCCACTGTGTGTTTATTGCAATGTGGGACAGGCCTCTCCTTCACCAGTAATCTAGTCAATCAAGTTTGTAGTTAGCAAACAAATTGATGCAAACAATAATATCTTGACTGATATAAGGAAACACACTGAGATGCTCAGCAGGAAATTCAGGGTGATGGGGAGGAGACAACTAAGGAGAAGCGAGCACGGTGTGAGCTGGCCTGGGTGAAGGCCTACGCTAGAAGGTGAACAGGACCATGAGCTCAAGTCAGTCAGCTTACCTGCCTCAGGAGACTTCATCTGCATGAAGGACATTCCATCCACAGCCCCTGCTTTGACTCATTTACTCATCTGTGTTACTCACTCTCTCCTTCCCATATCCCCTTTCCCTGATGCTTTTCCACCCGTGCCTCTCCATCATTATGACTCAGGCTAATTGAGCACTGACCATTCAGTTTTTTACGAACATCAAGTCCAGCTGTCACTAATGAAAGACACATTAGCAATAACTTTCTGCGTCAAGTACATTCATACACATCCTATGAGACTGAAGGGAAGTCTCCCCTGAGGTAAAAACCAGAACTGGGGGGGGGGGGGGGGGGGGACCTCAGGTTTTACACGCTGGCCTCGCCCTGGGGCCAGGAGGCTAAATGAAGTCACAGCCACGAGCCCTGAGGAGAATGTCCCATCCCCTCAATCTGGACACATGGAACAGGAGCCCGACAGGAGCACAGGCAAGGGCAGTCTCAGTCAGTCAGTATGGGCTTCAACTCCAAAGTTTTACAGGTAACATAAGCCTAGATGTTTTAAATCTCTCGTGGTGAAAGCTTACTGGGACAACAGAACAACAGGACAGTTTGGGTACATTCAACCTCTTTCTTGGGCTTTAGCACCTGATAACAGGTAGGTAAATGCCATTTCCACTTCAACAAGGGCCCCGTGATTCATGGCTGTCAGAAAGGCCTGAATCTGTCTGAAGCCACAGGCCAAAGAGCCTACAGAGCAGACAGATGTGGCACTCCCAAACCCACAACCCTGTCCAGACCAATTTCCTTTACTGGCAAGCAAGTAATGCATAGAGGTTGGGTAGGGAGAAAGGTATGGAAAAATCAAGAGAACAGATAAATCATGGAATATTCATATACAATTATACAATAGTATAAATAACTAGGATTCATCTTACTCAACACACATGGTCTCAAAATACAATGTTGCCTATAATACATATCACTGAAGGATACGAAAGATAGTCAATAACCATTAAATTTAAAACAAACATTATTGTTTATGGACACATTCCTATGAAATTTAAAAATCTACAAGAATATCACCAAATTCAGGGAAGAAAAAGAATGGGATAAAGGAGGGACACATCTGCTATTCTCTCTTAAACTGGATGAGAGGTACACACGTGACAGTTACATTTCTTTTTTTTCTTTTTTTTGTGAGGAAGCTAACATCTGTTGCCAATCTTCCTCTTTTTGAATGAGGAAGATTGTCGCTGAGCTAACATCTGTGCCAATTTTCCTCCATTTTATGTGGGATGCTGCCACAGCATGGCTTGACGAGTGGTATTATGTCCGTGCCTAGGATCCGAACCTGTGAACCCCAGGCTGCCAAAGTGGAACACGTGAACTTAACCACTATGCCACTGGGCCAGCCTGAAAGTTACATTTCTATTTTTAAATACAGTCATGTAACACATAATGCCACTTTGGTCAACAACCACTGCCTATAGGACACTGGTCCCATAAGATTAGTACCATATGGCCTAGGTGTGTAGTAGACTATACCATCTAGGTTTGTGTAAGTACATTCTATCATCTTCGCACAACAGTGAAATCGCCTAACAACACATTTCTCAGAACAGGGATCCCCTTCATTAAACAATGCATGACTATATACGTATATATAAATAAATATGTTTATAGAACATGTTAAAATCAAGATGACTTAAATAAAAGGAAAAGTACACAACTGTACGAGTAATCTAAATATTTCAGGGACACAAAAAAGTAATAAGAAAAGGAAGTCAAAGTTGAGGAGCAATTCTTCGCAATCAGTGGGTGTGTGTGTTGAGGGGTGGGAATGGGGTGTGTGCAAATGGCTGGCAGCAAAGAGCAGAAGAGTTATTTGTTCCGACCTCTCTGTCCTGTCATGTGGTTTTGTGACCTAAACTCAAGGCTAAATTTTGTATTTAAAATTTGCAAAATAATTCATAATGAAGGACCTACTTCTACAAGGTCCCTTCTAGCTGAAGCAAAACATTTCAAAACAAGAATATTACTAGTGAAAGAAAATGTAATTGTGTCAGGGTCCAAACTGCCACAGTTGGAGACAGACACATTTCACAGGGAGGTAGTCAGCCAATGGAAGCAGCCAGAGAATGAGGGAGAGCTTCTCCGGTCAGGCCCCTCAAATCTTTAGGGAAAGGGACAAACACAGCACTTCTGCTACTAAAGTCTTAGCCAGAACTGCCCCTCCCCCCAGGGCAATTTTAGGGTGCATATACAGCATGTCTGTTCCATTGCCAAGTGCAAAAGGATAGTTGGAAGGTAAGCATGTGTGTGCAGCGAGCAGAAGCATACCCAATCATAAGATAGACTGTGAGATTACCAATTGCTGATCACATAACATAAAAACAGAAAATTCAGTGTTGATACAGATCCTCTATCTCCTTTGTGAAACTTACACAATAAATCACAAAATACTCAGGGAAATGTTGATTTCTTCAATGGAACCAGAAATGGAAACACTTTGGAAATGTATATCTGCAAGGGGGGTAAAAAGGCAATGCTAAAACCTTTTAAGAGCTTGTGGGTACTTTAAAATAAGTCTTCACAAAATACGTAAAATATGGCTGCATTTTATATTCATAATTTCATTAGAGCTTGAAACATAACATTTAGAGTTAATTTCACCTACTCTCATTTTACCAAAACATACCAGTAATCCTGTCTATGTAAAGTAACCTAGAAAACATGTGTTTCCTCTGTTTCTTGTCTCCACAGAGCCATCCGGGCCAAGCCCTGGGGCAGGCCCAGAAACAGAGGCACCCTCAGCACAAAAGGCTCACGTGCCTCTAGGGCCTACCAGTCCAGGGCTACCAACGCTGAGATTAACAAAATTCATACTCAATGCCCAACAACACCACCCTCCCTCAAGGCCAAGTCTACTCTTGATTTCTCTTCCAATCTTTAAAAGAAAGTTAAGTGTTTGGCTGATTTTTTTTTTTTCAGTTTTCCCCATCTTGTATACTATGAAAGGAGCCATATATGAATGTCTAGTGAAGAGAACTGCAGGATCACGAATAATTTAAAACTTCGAGCTAAAGCAGAGCTTAGTATGGCTATCTCCCAAGGGACAAACAGGAAGGGTTAGCTTACTTATTCTGAAGTCCCACTCTATGGTGAAATTTGCTTTTTCTACATCTCAGAGCATCTTCTAAGGCTAACACATATGCTTGATGGGTGACTAAATCAAAACTGAATATTGACATAATGGTATCTGTTTACAAAATGCACGTCATATCCCTGGATTAGAAGTAAATTTAAGATACCCCTCAGAGTTTCTTGATCACATTTAGTGCTCAATCCACTGTCTTTCCTCCCTAGGGTCCTACAGGGAAGCTAGAACAGATAGTGCTTGTTTACATCCCTTCACTAATAATCTGTCTAAGCTTGGAGTTCCTTCCCGTGCCTATTCATGGAGAGCTAGGTGAAGAGTAAAGAGATAGGAAGGAAAACGTCTCAGTGGCCATTTATCAAACATGAAAATCTCTGGATTCCTCACAATGGTTAATGCTAGTAGTGTGCCAGATTTATAAAACCAACTTAAAAGAATTCTTGAAATAGAGATGACATTTATAATACTCTCAACTAAAATTCCAGGCAAGTGTGTCAGCCATGCTAATCAGTAAAGGAGCCTAACACGTGGTCATAAGGCAAGTTGTTTATTCTTCAAAAAATGTTAGACTCTATTATAAGCTACTAAAGTCTAAGAGAACCTAAATACCTTTACATTTTTAAAAAATATGTCATCTATATTGTAGCAACACTAGTTGACCCAACCTGCAGAAACCTATAAAAATTAAGACCAGTGCTGGTGACGTGGAAGTCCAGGTCTGAAAGCACTTCAGTCCTGCAGCTTACTGTAGAGGAAGCACTGCAGGGGGTTCCAGGAGAGACACGTGCATGTACCTGGAACGAGACACAAACAAGTTCAGCGCGAGCCAAGGACTTCGCTTCTACGAAACCTTAGTCAGGCCACAGAAAGCTTTCTGGTAGTTTTAACAGAAAGGAAAGAAACTAGCTGACTGTATGCGCTACAAGCTGACAAATTATAAACCTAGGCCTCTCCAAACTGATTTTCTCGATTTAACATCCAACTTTACTATTCCAACCTAGCACCAGATTCATGATTTGTTCTACTTTTAATTCTGCTATTATGACAACCTATTAAAGCTTTAGTGAGCCTAGATAAGGGAATTTCAGGAACTTACTTCGAAGCCTTATACTTCTCCCGAATTGCTTGCTGAGGTCGATGGGTTATGTCAAGGCACGCTTTGTGTAGCTCACTCAGGCAAGGAACGATTTCACTTAATGAATAGCCTGTAAAGGCAGCAAGGGTTTCTGGCTAATCAAGACAAAAGAAAAAATTTCATCATATAACTCTTAAAAGATATCAGAAATCTAAAGATAAAACTGTGAAATAAAGGAAATTAGTTACTTAGTATGTATCTCAAAAGAAACGGTAATCCTCCTTCAGAGACTTTGGAAATAAAATACTAGGAAGAACAGCCAGAATTCTAAATTTGCTCATATTGTATATTTATAATGCTCAATTTGGGGGCAGGTTACTGTACCTCTTCTCTCATGAGCAGGATTTTTACTGGTTCCTGAAGAGCCTCTACTTGCCTGATTGCCCGATTTACATAGAATATGAAAGATTTTTAGCCAAATTCAGAAGAAGAAATAAGTATTCTACAAAATAAAAGTAGACACCCCAGTTCTTTTAGCAAAAAGAGAGCCTTCAGAACCACATCTAGGGGCCCATTTCCAATCTTGCCACCTTCTTGGGCCAAGAGGCAATGCTAATTGCCCTGTTCCCTTGAAAGCCTGACCCAATCTTCTGACCATCTTTAATTGGACCCAGATTTTTTACACAGAGGGAAAAAATCAATAACTTTTGCTTGAAGTGGTCAATGCTTATACTACAAGAGCCCTCCCTGCATGAGGGTGGGCACTGAGATTTCCAGGCCTACTTCTGTTGCACGAGCCTGCCAGTATCATCTCCCTGACTTCCTGCAATCTCTACTCCCGGGAGACTGGGACTCAAAGCCATGAGTCAAAGCCATGATGGCTGACCTGCAAGACTCAGCAGCATGTTCTAGTCTGTTGGCAAGACAACCAGTTTTTCACTAAACTAACTCTCCCTTATAAGAGGCCAGCCCATTCTAAGCCTTGAGAGTTACTGAACAGATTTTAGAGAGGCCTTGAATTTCATCCAGAAAGAAGTAGTCAGAATCTTACCCAGAAGTGCCTGTTCACAGTATAGTTTGCCAGGCAATAAGCTGCTGCAGCTATCAGTGAAGGAAGATATTTCAAGAATGGGTCAGCTTCAAGTAGACTCAGTTCCGCTACGTACTAAACATGAGAGAGAAACTCTCATTAGAATTACACATTCGACTAAGATTGTTACAAGTAAACCTAGAAATGTCAAGGGAACAAATTGTGTCTTATTTTGTTCAACCTGCATCTAGCGATGAGCACAGAAATAGATGTTCAAAATTATTCACTGGGCTAATAATTGCTATGCCTATCCATAACCAGAATAATTTACATTGTAATAAATTTCAATACACAAGTATTTGGCCTACCTGCACAGTAGATGTGATGGGTTCCTTATCTTATACCAGTAGTACAGGTTTATGCTGGTCAGGAAGGTAGCCTAGCTCTAGCCACTGGAGCAGGACTAGAGCCTTCAGCCAATGGCAAAAATATGACCATTTTAAAGCTATTAATTTATCAGGCAAATGCATGCAGTTCAGAGGCTAGAATGGTACCCATAAGAACTTATCAAATTAAAAGAAAGATATTGGGAAATTTATATAGACATTTTTATTACTCTTTGCATAGCACATAAATACCAGTTATACTAAATCATAGTGGTTGAAAGCCAAGTTTTCCAAACGAATACTTTGGTGCCTTCAACCAAAGTTCTATAACTCCAAATGACCAAATACTGCTTCATTACTTAATATGTCAAGATGAGATTACAAATCAAACTACATTTACTTTGTTCCCATTCTCTAAACCCATGAGTTATGGTTTGCGTGTGGCCTGTATTCAATAAGGGAACAGTTTCTGAGCTTAAATTTCTTTTAAGAGTTGGGTGATTAGACAACCCATGCCTGCCAAACGTGACCAATAGTAATGCCTCATAACCAGAAGTCGTGTTCTTAAATTTAGCTCCCTTCCATCACTAAAAAGTTTTTCTGGGCCCAAGACAAAGAACTGAAAAGGACAGAAGACTGGAAGGATGACCGGGGAAGGCTATTTTTTATCCTTCTTAGCACCGATGTTCCTGGAAATCACAGGGCATACCTTGGCCAGGTTCTCGGTTCTGACACACACTCCTTGCCTCCTCAAGTACTGAAGGAGAAACTGGTTGGTCGTTGGCACCGTCAAATCAAAAGCCAGGACTTTCAGGAGCAGGTGTTCCATTCTTAACAGCTGCCGCTTTGTGTAAGTATCATCAGTTATGTAGACAAACTCGTCTACTTCGGGGGGATATATTTCTTCATATTTCCTAGGAAAGGTAAAGAGTTTTGGGAAATAAAGCTGGAACCTGTGGCCCTCCTTCCTGTGCTATCACAACCAGGCCTCTCACACAGCCCCTGCAGACTTCTTTACTTTGTACCCGTATAGCCACTCAAATATTACTAAACGGTACTGCGCCGTGAAAATATGAGAAGCTTGTTTCCAGAACAAGAACATGGCTATTACAAGGATATATTGTATTTATGGCTAGCATAGTAACAGAAATAATTTTCAACTGGGAATTTTAGGTTTTGGCCTCTGACACTCTGAAAGATTCTGAATGACAGACATTCAGATAAATTCCTCTTAATTCTATGGACTTCAAATCATCTTGTGGAAAAGAACGTTATGTTCAGCACAATGCTAGGAAAAAATTCCTTAGGTCTTCGATTTCTTTAAAGATCATGTTCAGCTTTCTCTAGTGAATTAATAAATGATACTATTTATCCAAGAGGAAGATAGTGATATAATTTCACTGTTATTAATTTTTGGCTTTTATTTCTACTTTCAGTAGGAAGAATTTTGGCAAGTTTTAGGCTTTAATAACTGGAATGTCTGAGACCGGAAGAATAGAAAGAAAACTACCACCCACCAACAGATCACTCAATTAGAGGCAGTTCAGCTACAGCCCAACTGTTTTTCCACACGATTAGGTATTGTTATGAATGACTGACAGTAAAAGGAACCAACTAAAATGGTTTACTCACTGTAAACAAATAAACTGTTATTATGGGTCATTTGCTAGATCATGAAGATGGCTTTTTTTTTTTTTTAAAGATTGGCCCTGAGCTAACATCTGTTGCCAATATACTTTTTTTTTCTTCTCCTCCTCAAATCTGTCCAGGACATAGTTGTGTATTCTAGTTGTGGTCCTTCTGGTTGTGCTCCTTCTGGTTGTGCTATGTAGGACACCACCTCAACATGGCTTGATGAGCAGTGCCATGTCCGCACCCAGGATCCAAACCAGCGAAACCCTGGGCCAACAAAGCGGAGTGCGTGAACTTAACCACTTGGCCACAGGGTTGGCCCCAAAGATGGCTTTTATATAACCAAAATCTCTTTAAATAGGACTTTTAGTTGTATTACAATATAGCCAAAAGATTACACTGCAAAATAGTTAAATTGGACCCTGAATTTGAGCTGATGGATGCCTTAGTCATGATATTGAACTTGTTGCTATAAATCTTAAACATCTGAATGGAAGCATGAACATGTGGTAAGATTCAGTTTCTCAGTAACTACTGTAACTATAATGATATTTTACCAAAGGAGGCATGAATAAGTTTTAATTATCAAGCATGGCATTTCTTCAATAAATGGGAAAGAAAATCAAGTGTTTTGACAAGCTGCCATTTCACATTATTTAAGCTAAAGAGCACTTACGAAGCCAGAAGAATAGCTGCTGTTCCCACAAGCTGCAGTTTCCCTCTCAGAACAGACATGCAGGAGAGAAACCTGTCCAGGAAGTTGACAGCCAGGTAGAGAGTCTCTGCTCGAAGCTTATATTCTTCTCCGACCTCCACCAGCCAGTCCACCAGAATTGTGCGCATGCCTTCCGTGATGTCCGGCTGTTTCCTCATGTAGTGCGCTTTGGGCCTGTATCTTATCTGTTGGGGGAAAGAGTTTGGATATTTAAATAGTTGCTATATCAGAAAGATCACTCCACAGCACAGTTGCTATTTTTTAAAAACCTCATGATCAAAGATCAGGAGGAAACTGATCAAGAGCCAAATAAATCTTTACCATGATATGGAAGAAAGTGTGAAATTCTGGTTCTGTAATGCAATTAGGTTATAAATAACTTAAAGGAGGGGAAAACGGCAATATGGGTTATTTCTGAGTGAAATAATATATAAACTCTTTGAGTCATAGATAAGTATTCCAAGTAATTACTACTCACCTCACAACTATTATTTTTCATGATACTCTTATGTTTAGACGTCATAAGAATGCCATTCACCAGTGCTTATGGCTGAGAGTTATAACTATCTCATTATTAAGTGCTTGGGGTGCTGAAAATTGAAGTAGAAGTTGGGAAAACTCACTTCAGCTTCTCTAAGGTACTGATGAATTTCTTCAGCATATTCAGTCACATTTATCACATCTGTACCAAAATCTGATGCATCTTCAGACTGGGAATGGAGAGATGAATCTACCAGCATGGGGGAAACTGCAGGGGGTCAACATTTTCAGTTAAGATATTTAATTTAAAAACTCATTTCATCCACTAACCCTCCATAGACAGTTGTGAAAATAGTCATTATTTCATGGTTTTCTCTTGCTAGTTACATGCTATCAAACACTGCAGGCGATTATGAATAAAGGGAACCATCAGCCGTAGGTGAGTCAGATTACCTGTGCTAAAATCCAGCAAGAAGTGAAGGTCTGACTTGAGTGTGCTGGTGTCTACTTCATACGCATCCTCAAATGCCATCCCCTCTCTTTCTGTACAGCTGTCTCTGTCACCCTGCTCAGGCTCATCCATGTAGATATCAAATCCTTGCTTGGCGGGCACATGGACCCCACAGTCAGAGAGCAGTTTCTTTCCAGTTGAAGGGAAGACATTTTCTGATCCAGAGAAACATCTGAGTGTTGTGATCCCCTAGAAAAGGGTTAAGTTTTTTGTTAGAGGCCACCCCAAAGACCATATAGGTGATGCAAACCTGGGTGACCCAAACCGGTAGGCTGGGAAGATGAGAGGAATCTTAAATTGAAGTATCTATGCCTACAACTGAATTTCAGAAAATAAAGCTCCCAAAGTAGGACCACTCCTTTATCTTTGTCTACATTTGACATTTGGGAAAAGAGCTACCTAAAATTTGTCGTCTGCCCCACATATTTATCAAACGGAACTCAAGATTCTAGAAAAAAGAAAAACTATAGCTCTCCATCAAAACGAAATAGGTACCACATGTGGGGAAATTTGTAAATTGCTTTTCATGCTTATAGCATTACAGGATTTTATTAGCACCCAGCAAAGTTCTTGACACATAGTTACTAAGGTCCTAGAGTCTTCTTCCTTAAATAGTTAACTTTTCATCAGCAGGCCTCTATATAGTTCCCACTTCATACCCAGTTGTTTAGAAATGTAATGATTTTAGAAATTCATACTACTAAATTCTCTTACAAGCCATAGAATCTTATTGCATGACATAATGCAGTTACCCTTGGGGAATCTAACTCAATCGCTCCTCCTTTTTCTTTATTCCTATAGCATTAACAATGGGAACAACCGTGTGCGCCCGCTTAGTGAACAAGCACATTAAGGTGAATCATATTGGATGGCCTGCTATCAGATGAACCTGGGCAGGTAGGCAAGCTCTCTAAATCTGAATTATATTTACACAAATGCTATGTCTAGCTACTGTATCAACATTTTACTGTCTATACTTAATCTTGGTATTTAGTGTCCAGGCTACTTCCAAGTTAGTATGTGTTTCCATAACTTTCTCCTCCATCTAGTTTATGTCTAGTCAGAAAAAAATTCTTTATCATAGTACTGGAAAAAAAAAATCACAGGGACTATACACGTCCAAAATCCCAAGTTATTATAAGCAGGTAACATGACTCCAAGTTACTACAAGTTTGACTTTTGCTACATAGATATCTGTACATGAGATGAGACATATATTCATTAAACAAATATTTTCCAAGCATCTACTACATGCTGGACACTGCTCTAGATACCCAGAATTTAGCAGTGAACAAAAGGCTCAGAAAGGACTGCCCTCATGGAATTTGTATTCTAGTTGGACTGAGAGGGGGAAGACAGACAAGAAGAGATATAGTTGGTCAGATGGTGTAAGTGCTTTGGAAAAGAGTAATACAGGGAAAGGAGAGTCGTTGCCATTTTAAATAGTGTGGCCAGGGAAGGCCCCAATGAAGAGGAGAGAGTTGGTCAAAGATATGAACAAGGTAAGGAAGTAAGTCACACAGATAGAGGGGGCAAGAGTATTGTGGGCAGAGGGAACAGCATAGGGAAATGCCCTGATGTTGGAGTGTGTCTTAGAGACACAGCAAGGAGGTGATAGGGAAGAGTGAGAGAGGGGGCAGTGTAGGTCATAAAGTCAGAAAGAAAACAGAAGCCACATCATGGAGGCCTTACCATAGGCCATTTCAGTATTGCCTTCTATTCAGAGGTGGGCAGCCACTGGAGAGTTCTGAGCAAAGGACTGGTATGATCGGATTTATGTTTTAAAAGAATCATCCTGGCTGTGTATAGGTATAGAGAGTAAATAAGATGAGTGAAGATGACCAGTTACGAGACTTGCAAATTCCAGGTAAGACACAATAGGGGTTTGAACCAGTATAGTAACAGTAAAGGATGAGAAGTGAAGAGGTCCCAGACATTTTAAAAAGTAGAGCTGATAGTATTTTCTCAGCAAATAAGATGTAGAGTGGAGAAAAAGAAGAGTCAAGGATGACAAATGTTTTGGGACTGAATCACAGGAAGGATGGATACCCCGTTTACTGAGATGAGGGAGACGTTGGGAAGAGCAGGTTGAGGCCAGGGTTGGTGTTTGGCTTTCCACAAGTTTAATCCAAGTGAAGATGTCAGGTAAGCTGCTGAATATGAGCCTGCAATACAGCTGAGAAGTGCAGAGCAGAGATAAAAGTATGAGTCATCAACAGATAGATGGTATTTAATCCCAGGGGACTTGAAGAGATTGCTAAGGGAGTGACCAGATTCAGATCAAATACTATGCCCCGGGGCACTTTTAGAGATTGGATAAGGGAGAACCACGATGTGGAGGAGGAATGGCCAATGAGCCAGGTGGAAAACCAGGAGAAAGCGGTGTTCTCCAAGCTGAGTGAAAAATTATTTCAAGGAATACAGAATGATCAACTACATCAAATGCTGCTAATCAGAAAAGTAAGGAAAGGACTAAGAATTGAGTCAAAAAAGAACAAGAGAAGAACTAGAGACAGAAGAGTATTCACTCAACACTTACTTGCATGCTACTCTGGCCAGGCACTATTCTAAGCACAGGGAATACAACAGTGAACCTGACATCCCAAATTCTCATCCTGATGGAGTTTATGTTCTAGGGGGATAGACAAACTCTCAAGAAATGTTGCTATAAATGGGACAGTCACTGCAAAGAGCTTTGTAGTTGAAAGGTTTTTAAGATGGAAAAAATTACAATATATTTGTATATATATGGGTTTGACCCAGTAGGGAAAAGAAAACTAAAGAGAGAAAGAAGAGTTGCTGGAATGATATCTTTGAAGAAGCACTAGGGCGTAAGGTTACTGCACATGTTGGGGGTTCACGTTGCATAAGAGCAGGGACACATGAGTCATATAGCAGGACAGGGATGGCAGAGTATAGGGAACATGGGAGCACGTGGAAATTCTCTTCTGGTCTCAGGTTTTTAGGAAAAAGGACACAAAGTCATTAGTAGAGAGCAGGATCGAGGTGGAGGTTTTGGAGGATTAAAGAAAGAAGGGAAGGTGTGAAATAGATTTCTAAGAAGGTTGTAGAGGACAGAGCAGCGGAATACAGAGGTAGTGCCAGGCAACATAAACGCTTACGAATTTACAGTGAGCCCAGCTAGCATAGGCATAACTGACAATTCCTAAGAACCAGGTTTTAGACCTGGTATAAAGTTTAAAGAAGTAAACATTGCTAAGCAAATTAAGTTTGTTAAAACCACTTTCACTCAATTTTTTCCAAAGCTTTGAACACATCACTTTGGGTATTTTCCCCACACTAATCAGAGGCCACCGGAAGGGAGATGACTGGAATGGTCAGGTCAGGTCAGTAGATGAGGGGCTTCTATTCTGGCCTCCACCCTAACTCTTTGTGGGTTTTTTTGTTCTTGGGTTTTCTAGGGTTTTTGTTTTTTGTGTTTTTTTTTTGCCTTTCTTAAACCTCTTAAATTTTCTCACCTAAAACATGGGAAGGATGCCCAGCCTACCTACTTCACTTGGACTATTGCTGATGTCATTCCACTACAGATGTAGTGGCTTAAAGCCTTAATGAGGCTTAAAGCATCATTATAAGGAGCTTATCTAATATCAGACTTGAGAAGCTTTTTTCTATCTCAAAATTCATTCTTAAGGATCCAAACCCCTCATTTGCATTTAAGAGTCTCAATTTGTTTTCAATCTGTGAAGGGAGGTACCTATGATCCGAGGGCCCATTATCTATTTGCCTAACTGCCCTTTGTGAGTACTTCAGAGAGACGTCTGCTCTCAAAGCATACTTTTTGAAATAATCTGGTCTAGTCTGATCCAATCCCCATTCTAACCCTATCTCCAACGAACAGAGTAAAGGTTATCCAGGATGGCTTCAGGCACAGCCTAGATCAGTCTGAACACTGCTCTGACCTGAAGGAACCCCAGCTCCATAGTTTACTTGAGGGCATTCACACTTCCTTGTAGCCCGGCACTTAAATGACTATACATATACTTAATCCAAATAGTCCCTAGACCTATTTCCTTGATTTTGGAAAAATAACAAAATTATTCACTATTTCTAGCTGGAAAAGGGACCCAACAAGATGATTATAAAAAATTCAGTGTCCCCACAGTCCAGATTCCAGGGTTGGAATACTCAAGGGAAGTTTGTAGGTAAAATTGCAAGAGAAACTCACTTCCCACCATGACAGGAAAGCCTATCTGCAGCTTTCCCGGTGCTTCTCAGTCATTACCTGGCCACAGGTCCTCCTGTACTGCCCATTCTCAGTCAGCACCCCTAGCACTGTTCTTTGGGGGGGATCCTGGCCGAGGTGGGCTCTGGTTATCATCTGACAGGCATCAGGACCTCGGGACACTGGAGCCAAGACCACCCCGCTCTTGGAGCTGCTGCAATGCATAGCCTCAGTCGCCACAGGCTGCTGCTATGGGGAAGGAGAAACAGACAAGCCGGTTAGTCAACCTCTTCCGCCAGGGGCTCCAAGGATGCAGCGAATCTCGAGGAGGGACAGCACTCAGACATATGATCTTCCGTGCAATTGAAGTAGGGCTGAAAGGGCATGAGCCACAGGGCGCAAGCAATCAAAGCAGCTTTGAACCAAAAGTGTGATTTGAATCTCTCCAGGCTTTCTTCCAAGACCTAGGTGACGGCTGGAATGAGAGAGACATCCTGACAAACCTCCAAACCGGGATTCTAAACCCCACGTTAACTAGAGCCGAAACCCACAAGCCCGATTCTTCCCCGGCTGCGACGCTTATCCCCCGCCCCTCTTGCAAACAAAAGACCCAGGATACATCTCTGCGGGAAAGTGCGTCCCCTTCCCAAGTGACAAACAGGATGCTCCTCCGCGGCCCTCCTTCCACCAGACGGAAGGCCCCAAAACCTGCTTGGAACTCACATCGGGCCTCGCTCCTCTCAGCCTTATAGCTTTACATATGTTTCGAACAATCAGCAAGTGCACACGAGGATTGGGAATGGGGGCTGCCCGAGGGGGCGGGGCGGGGGAGGGGCGGGGGTGGGAGGGTACCCAGGTGTTAATAGATTCCAGCGGGAGCGCTGGGCTCCCAGCGGCTGCGGCCCTGGCGCTCAGGGCTAATTACTTTCAACCCCCCTGCGTCTGTTGAATCGGCCAATCAGCGGCGCCCCCGGGCCCCGCGGGGGTCGCTTCCATGCCAACCGCAGCGGGCGTGCGCGCCTCCGGGCTGCATCGCCATGGCGACCTCCTCACCTGACACGCCAAGGGCAGACGCGCCGCGACCCCTGGGCGTTCAGGGCCGGGCGGGGCCAACGGGCGGCGGCCCCCGGGTCGTCCTGCGCGGTCTTGCCCAGGCGTGCCCGGGTGGGCGGCCGCGGTCGGTACACGTGTCCCTCCTCGCCGGCGCCCCCGGCCTGAGAGGGAGGAAGACGGCCCACCCCGCGATGGCCGGGGCTTCGGAAGGGACTGTTTCCGTGAACCCCTTCTCCAACAGCCGCTAACTCCTCCCGCTAACGTCTTTTCCGCGGCCCGCTCCTGAGAACCTTGGCTCGGGAGAGCGACGCGGGGCCCTCGGGGCTGCGCAGGCCGCGGTGCACGACCGCGCCCGCCCGAGGGCGCCTCGCTCCCCCGCCCCAGCTCACACGCCTGCACAGCCTCCTAGAGAGAGGCCAAGAAGTAGGGAGTTGGCCTCAGGTCGGAGCCGGGGCCTCCTAATCCATGGTGGCAGCGTGCCTCCGGTCATTTTGAGTCCTTGCGCACCAGAGGCCGCGCCAGGCCAGCCAGGGTTGCCGTGCATGTGGCCGGACAGGGCGGGAGAGGAGATCTGGGGTTTTAGGGTCGCACGTGGTGCTCGCAGTCCCCACAAGAGGTTTTCCCCGACGGGTTCCGGCAGCCACGGTGTGCAGGGGGTCCAGGAACGCTGAGATAATGGCTCAGGAAGAGGAAGGAACGCGGGTGGCAGCGATGGGACCTGGGATGTTGAGGGGGACAGTGGCGAGGCCCAGAACCGGGGGCTGGGCAGGCGGCCTGGCCACATGGGGAGGGAAATCCTTGTATCCGGGGGTCCATGGCCAGGTAGGGAGGAAGCAGGGAGTCACATAGAGGGGTGGAAGTGAGTGTAGGGGGAAGGGGCCCTGGCCACGCAGGAAAGGAGGAGAGGGTCCTTGACAGCAGGGAGTCCTGGCACCTCCAGAGGTGACTGGCAACTGGCATGCCAGGTAAAAGAATCTTTAATTTTATTATTTTTTTAAAAGTGTGTGTGCATACACACACATTGCATATATAATATTACTGCTTTTTTTTCAATACACATCCTTCAATCTCTAAAGCAGACCCCAAAGACCATTCAAATGGCCACTTTAAGAAATGGTTAGGTATCCCCGCCTTCTTTATTTTGAATGGAAATGACTTAATCTAACTGCCACCCCCCAAAAGAATCCCTTACATGTTCCTAGTAATGTTTTCACCCAGCGAGCTGAGTATGCATTATTTTAATGAGAAAATCGAAGCGTTCTACAGAAAGTGGTGATGAAAGCGTTTGACCGAGTCAGATGTTAAGCGTCAGATGGGAAGCACCTTGGAAATTAGTGCTGGATGCAGGAGGAGCGCAAAAACTGGAAATTAGTTTCTATACGTTTATCACCGACTTTGCATACGTTGGGAGGCAGCAATCCCCTTGCATCCCGGAATTCTTATGCCTTTGAATATGGAGGCAACACAGGAGCTCTGGTAACATCTTGGTTGTGGTAACAGATGAGTCAGAGGCAGGCAGGGACCAGATGCTCCGCTGTTCAAGTGCCTCTACCTGGTGGAGGAAAAGAGCTTCTCTGTCCTCTCGCCTCGAGCCGCCTTTGGAAGTCTCCCTGGGAGCTCCGCCCCCCCCCCCCCGCCCCCCCCCCCCCCACCCCACTCCCGGCGACACTGTTGTGATTTCTGGGGACGCTGACAGCTTCAGCGGTGAACTCTGTCAGGGATTCAGGAGCAAGTCCTGCCAAGAGCCCGGGTTTCCTTGGCGGGGACAAGATTACCCTGCACTCATGTGACCTGGCCCCTCTGTAGGTCCCTTTTGATCTGGGTTCCTCGACAAAAATGACTGAAAACTTCACACCCTGTCTTTCCTCCAAAACAAAGGAGGCAGCGCAATGTTTGTTCCTGGAGCCTGTCGTTTTGATCTTCTTTTCTGAGATTGAAACTCAAACTGAGAAAGGGTAGCGCTAGGCTTCTGAGGAAGCAGCTGTTGGACGCTGGGTGTTCCCGACTCAAATCTGGTCACGAGTAAGGTGTCCAGCGTCTCTCAGCTGTCTTTAGTCTGAACATTGCCTTTGAAAAAGAAAATAACTCTCAACCAGATGAGACCCTCGGATTATTTCATATGCCTTTTCCCATACCTCCTCTCATGTGAATAGCTGTGGCCTAATCCAGATTTAATAGCTATGAAATATTATCAGAACATGTTACCATCTTTCTTCTCTCTCCATCCACTTTGTTAAATTTGGCAAAGGGAAGTGATACGTGGCTTATGACTTTATTGTGCTGACTTAGAATTCAGTATTAAATCATTGTAGTCCTCTGGTCAGATGTTAAATTGGAGAGTAATTCAGATGAACTGATATTTCTGTATATTTTTATATTGTGCACGTATACATTCAGATGTTTGTATAAGGTGTGCAGTACTTATATGGCTTTCTTGACTTTTACAAAAAATTTTCACTAAATATTTGTTTGAATGAATAATGATTTATGGCATAAAAACAAACTCAACAGATAAATAGGTGCACAATTTTTGTTAAAAATTTAAATGAAAAACTTGGCCTTGTAATTAAGAAAAATAGGAGCAGAGACAATAGAAAACACTTTCCCACAAATTATGCAGTTTCAGTGAGATGCATAATTATAATTTTGCTATTATAATAAAGTCAGGGTTAGAACTCTAAGGAGATTTTAAATGTCTGCATGTTTTATATAAACTATTCTGTAATTATATTGAGAAGTGAACAATATATTTACTTATAAATACATCTTTAATGTCTAAAATATTTGGTGTAACTGCCATAGAAATATAACACTTTCTTAGCTTAAAAAATTACTTGGTCAGGGGGCCGGCCCAGTGGCGCAGTGGTTAAGTGCGCAGGTTCCACTTGGGCGGCCCAGGGTTCACTGGTTTGGATCCCAGGTGCAGACATGGCACCACGTGGCAAGCCATGCTGTGGTAGGCATCCCACATATAAAGTAGAGGAAGATGCGCACGGATGTTAGCTCAGGGCCAGTCTTCCTCAGAAAAAAGAGGAGGATTGGCAGATGTTAGCTCAGGGCTAATCTTCCTGACCAAATTACTTGGTCAGCACTTCTGCCTGATACTCAGTGCTCAGCTAGTTTTGACATTAGAATTAATTTCCGTAATAGGATGACAGCTGAATTCTTTACTAGAGATTTTTAAAACCCAACAGTCCTATTAAAATCGACTCCTCCCCCCTCCAAATTACAGTTCAAAGACAACCTTTTCTGTTTGCCAGCAATAACCTGGCATTTCAGAAGCTCTTATTACTTCTATTACATTTGCTTATTGTAGCTAGTAATTAACCTCCTGTTCAAACATTTCGGTTTTCATTAATTTGTATGAAATCAGGTTGATTTTCAGCATAGGGCTGAAAAAGAGATGAAAAACTAGAAGAGTCAATTGTTTTTAAGGACAGAGGTCCATTTAGGGACGTGTTTTACCTGTTCATGGACTTGCCTCTGCGATTCCCAAGTATACGCTTAATTTCAGAACATAGCTATATGGTAAGATGAGGGACAGATGTTGAGGGTGGAGGGCAATTTGTGATGTTTTAGCCCACAGCCCCTTCTTAAAGGGAAGATGATGAATGAATCAAGTAAGTCCAATCTGAGAAGTAGCCAACAGTTTACTGCCTCAGGAAGCATATATCCTCAGGTAGTCCAAAGTGGATCCGTGAGTACATAACAGGTGAAGGAAGTTTTTGTGAAAATTTGTAAAGTTCTTGGAAGCAACCTGGGTGTCCATCAAGGGACAAATGGATAAAGAAGATGTATATGTACACAATAGAATACTACTCAGCCATAAGAAATTATGAAATCTGGCCATCTGTGACAACATGGATAGACCTTGAGGGTATTATGCTGAGTGAAATAAGTGAGAGGGAGAAAGTCAAATACCATAGGATGTCACTCATAAGTAGAAGATAAAATCAATGACAAACAAACACATAGCAACAGAGATTGGATTGGTGGTTACCGGAGAGAAGTAGGGAGGGGGGAGGGTGAAAGGGGTGATCAGGCACGTGTGTGGTGATGGATTGTAATCAGTCTTTGCTGAACATGATGTAATTACACAGAATTTGAAATATATTATGATGTACACCTGAAAGTTATATAATGTTATGACTCAATGTTACTACAATAAAAACTAATAATAAAAAAATTCAAGAATTTTAAAAAAGGATATTGTGGGTCAGCCAATGTACCTCTAAAAAAAAAAAATTTCTTCTTTATACCTTTTCTTGTTTTCTAACTTCCTTCTAAATTAAAAATACTTTTAAGCTTCTGACAAATTATTTTAATTTATATATAACTAATTTTATATATAATTAAGCTATATGACATTTATTCTTTTTTCTTCATAACGAAAATCATCTTTATAATAAATAAGTTCAACTAGAGAAAAGAAATTTGTAAAGTCACTTCCTCTAAGTGAAAATAGTTTGAATACATACATGAGAGTAGCGAAAGCCTAGTATTCATTCACCTGTGTTACAAATATGTTTTTGAGCATCCATCCTATACTAGGCAGTAGCCGGCTATGGGGCAACAATTAAAAATAATCCTTGCCTTCAAGGAGCTTTTTGTTCCAGGCAAGGAGAGGGTAAATGGATAGTTGTGGTGCAGCATAATTAGTGTTTATTTCACCATGAAGGACACAGATGTATAAACAGGGAGCAGTTGGAGCTTAGAGAAAAGGAATGATACGTGTTGCCGTGGAGATTTGGAAGCAGTATCCAGATCTGATAATAAAGATGATTAGAGTAAAAAAAAATTGACAAGGCAGATGGTATAGTCTACATATATCCTAGAAAGAGAGAGCCCAAAGAACAAGAATTCTCAGCTGTGTTTATCCAGTACCTTCCAAGGGAGAGCAATAAACTGTGATGTCCAAAATAACCCTCAAGACTGTCTCTCGTGGATCTGGGACAGACTCCACAGCAGCTATCTCATGAAGAAGTCAACCTCCCAGGAAGTTGGGTGAGAAGAAGAAGGTTCTGGTGACTTTAGTTACCATGACCCAGTCCCTAATAATGTGCTCAACTAGAGATGCACTATTAAAAATAGACCCCTGTGACTACACAGTTGAGGCCTCGGCCAGTAGCCTCCCCAAGATTCTGCACCAAGAACCAAACTGGGGCTGATGAAGCAGAGGCGCTGAACTTAACCACGAGGCCATGAGGCTGGCCCACAAACATAGAACTTTTTCTTATAGCAACAGTGACTCATAAAGTTGTCTGCATG